GCCATTAAGGAAGATAAAGGTCACTGGATCACAGGCCTTGGAGATATGATGACAGTTGATCTGATAATGAGATGTCCAACAAGTGACTAAGACGTAGTGTCTACAGGGTGTACACACTGCACAAAGGGATGCTTCCTGTCCTGGGAATGAAGCAAGATGAACTAAGACTGCATCATACACTTCCGGATGAAAACTTTTGAATTCCTTACTTATGGAACTTCCCGTTAACTGAAACCATGGCAAGTGACACCATGATTAAGGGCGGACTACTGTATCAAAACTAGTAACAACTTTTATCAAAACTTTTTGTGTGCCAGGTGTTACACTATGAATTTGGCCTGCCTTATTGTTCTTTAAAACAAGCTTACAGAGTAGGTACTATTTTTTCAACTATTTTACAATGAAGAAAGAGGCTTAAAGAGATAATAAAGACCACTCAGGCAGTAAAATGTGTATAGAGTATACAGTAAAATGTGTATAAGTATGTAAATGTAAATTTACATAATGTAAGTATGTAACAAATGTAAATGTCTTACTTACACAGTAAGACGTGTATATAAACGTCTCAAAATGGGTCAGTCTGACTTAAAATCTGAAGCTCTCTAACCACCACTACATTGGTGCTCAGGTTTTAATGTCCTAACAACTTGGAACCCTTTTAAAAGTGAGTATTTCTAATCTGGTCCCCACGGGTTCTGATTTGGATGCCCAGAGGCCTGAGAACAGTCATTTCTGTCAGACATTCCAGGTGAGTTTCATTAAGGTGATTCAAATTTCACACCTTGTGAAACGCCACCTTACACCTTGCTGGCTGCCACTTAAAATTCGAATAGAGTCCACATTTTGACTAAAAGAACTATTATGACTTCAAATTAAATTGCAAAGTAGGTAAGTTTTTAATGTGAGGAAATAGGTAATGGGGAAAGCAGAATTACTCAAGTAAAATGTCCATATCTTACTTTTCTAACATACAGCTTCTTCAACTTTCAGGAAAGAAGCTTTCTTAGCAATGTTTTCACACAAATCCCAACATTTTCTCACAGGCCAGAGAGTTTGCAATGCAAGGTGCCGAAGGTGACAGCAGCAGTGTATGATTTAAGAAAATGAAAACACTACTGATGTGGAACTTAGAAAAGCTTTCCCACAAACAACTCTTACAAAAAGTCCATGGTCAGGGCTGGCGCTGTGGCTTAGTAGGTTAAGACTCTGCCTGTGGCGCCGGCATCCCATATGGGCACCAGTGCCTGTCTTGGCTGTTCCTCTTCCCATCCAGCTCTCTGCTTAAGGCCTGGGAAAGCAGTAGAAGATGGTCCAAGTGCTTGAGGCCCTGCACCTGCATGGGAGATCCAGAACAACCTCCAAGCTTCCACCTTCAGACTGGCCCAGTTGCAGCCATTGTGGCCATTTGGGGAGTGAAACAGCAGATGGAAGATCTTTCTCTCTGTCTCTCTCTCTGTCTGTAGCTCTGCCAGTCAAATAAATAAATAGAATCTTTTAAAAAAAAAAAGTTCATGGTGGCAGAAATATCAAGAAAGTACCTAAATGGGAAAGTCATCATTTACTCAACTAATAAATTAGCAAAGGTGCCACACTACATGTCAAGATTCAAAGCAGGCAGCAAATGTCTTTGGATCATCTCAGCTGTCAATCTGGAGAATTTAAGTGTAAAGTCCAATTATCAGCCACAGAGGTTATAGTTTCTTGGCCCTTAACTGTGGGGGATCAAGTCTATTTGCAGGCATTGCCCAAGGGAAAAGAGGTAATTTATTCCTCTTCCACATGTAATCCTGCCCCGCAGGGGACTGAGCGCTCTATGCTGTTTTATTCATTCCTACTTGACTACTCCCTAGCCCAGGTAGCATAATAGCTATTTTGAATCTTTTCCCATTTCTTTCAAGTTCCCAAATCTAACCTTGCTCCCCTCAAGTACCATATATGAATTTGTTTTTTATATCCTAGCCATCCATGGATCCTCCACACTTCCCTTTCTTCCACATGGAAGTTTCTTAAAAATGTTACAGTTCTTTTAACAGCTCCTTAGCTCAAGATAAAGAGCATCTTAACTTCTCCTTAAGGTTGACGCCTTCAACCTGTGAGCCTGACCCCCTTATATACTGTCTTCTTTGAGACTCTTATTCCATTTTCAGCAAACCTCTGTCAGTCACCCACAGTGTTTCTGGTACTCTGTTAGGCATCAGGAACACAAAGATGACAAGACATGAACCTGTCTTGCAGCAGCTTCTAGGGCAGCTTGGAGACAGACATGCAACAAAGGTAAATACAAGCACAACAGGGCCAGTGGCAACTGAGGTTTAAGTAGCTTCCCCCGGGAAACCATTTAGATGTAAAAGATAATCTAAAAGTAGATTCGTGGAAGTGAAAAGATACGGAAAGTTACTGGAGCACAGCAGGGCCAAGTAACTACAGAGAGTCTGCCACTGATGGAAAAAGCACTCAGGGGAATTGCTGAAAAATGGCACCGAGGATTTCTGATTTTAAGTCTACAATGAGCAACTACGGTGCTGTTACCAGATTTTTATGTTATGGACAGCTCTCTCTGGAAACAACATGGTGAACGAATTAGAACCATACAACAGTCTTAGGTCAGTAGCGTGGAACGCAGGAGCTCAGTGATCCAGGTAGGATATCAAGTACCTGGTTCAGAGCAGTAGTGGCAGACAGAGAGCACCATGATGGGTGAGAACCATTCTGAAGTTATGGACTTTAGAGCTTAATAACTGATTAGATGTCAGGAATAACAAAGAAAGAAGCATGAGGGCTGAGCCCTAGGCTTCTGGCTTTGATAACAAACTAGTGGTTATATTTCCTGGATAGTTGCTAGGAAGGCTGAATGTATGGTGCACCGGAGAGGGTGTGTGCAAAACCCAACTGGATTGTGGCTGTGAAACTCCAACAGGCAGGCCAGGTGAGACCACAGCTGTGAGCAAGATTCCCCAGGGAAAATATGGTACTGAACAGAAGGGCTGAGGGAAGACTGTTTAGGAAGCCCAAATCAAAGACCTTCAAAGACAACTGAGAAGGAAGGAGGGCTGGAGAGGCAGAAGACGAGTAGGAAAGGATGGCACCTGAGACTGAAGGAAAAAATGTTCAGAGAAGTGAAGAGCTACCAAACGCATCAGACACGAGTTCAAGGACGGACTGAAGGCACCACGTGGGATTTAAGCTGAGAACCTTTAACTGCTTTCTTAAAATTAATTAATTTTTTAAAGAATGCAAATTTCATAAATACAAATTCAGGAATATAGTTATTCTTCCCACCATACCCACCCTCCCACCCACACTCCCACCCCTCCTCCTCCTCCCTCTCCCCTTCCCAGTCCATTCTCCATTAAGATTAATTTTCAATTAACTTTGTGCACAGAAGACCAACTCTATACTAGGTAAAGATTTCAACAACTTGCACACACACACAAACTGAGAATAAGTATATCATAAGACAACTCATTGAGACAGAGGTCCTGCACTGCGAGTTAGTACACAGTGACTCCTGTTGTTCATTTAACAATGAACGCTCTTATGTATGACGTCATTGCTTTAATCCTCATATTATGTGTCCCTGATTAAATGAATACTACTTGATAAATATGTAAGAATTCTTCAGTTGAGCTGACCTGTTTTCAGTACACTCTCTTCTCCTTGATCATAAACCCTGCACTGTGATTTGTATCCTAAACTCTGCCAATGATATTCTTCTTTATTCCCAATCACATTTTAGATGTCAATTCCCATAACCTTTCCCCCAGTCATTACTGTATGTGCTCTCTTCACATAATTTTATAGTATTTTGTTCCTCTCTTCATGTTCACCTTTGGCTGTTTCGCCACGGACTTCCTTCTCCTCTTAGTTCTCTGGAGACACCTGTGCAATCTCCTAAAGGGACTCTCTCTGCTTCATAAGCTTTTAAAATAAAATTGTCTCCAATATTTGATTCTCAGTTCTTCCCTCTAGGAAATTCACATTTCCAACCCCTGGGAAATCTCTCATCTCACTTGTGTAGAAGAATTTCAAATTGTAATCCTGAACTAGATTTTCAAATGGAGAGCTACATACAGAAATCCCACCAAATTCAACATGCCCCAAGTGAAACTTGCTTCCTTTATTTCTAGACCTCCCAAAAACAGTTTCCCATTTTCCTGCCTTGTCACTCATGGATCCTTTTTCCTCCTTTCCTTCCCACATACAATCAATCCTCAATCCAAAGTGTGCATCTTTTTTCTCTCTGTCCCTCTAATACAAACAATTTGAATATGAGGGGTCCTCCAAAAATCTATAGACAATGCATACTATTAAAAAAAACCTGCTTGGATTTCAAAGCTTTTATGCCAAAATAAAGTTATCTTTTAATTTAATCCATGAACTTCCTGAACTCTCATTATGTAGGGAATCTAGATATAAATTGTAATGGTTTATTCCCATAACAACCACCACCAATATTGATTTAGTTTCCGCTATGTATTATGTGCAATTTTAAGCACTTCACACATTTTTCCCTTTTGTTATTTCCCCTTCTTTGAGTCTAGAAGAGGAAGATTGTTTATTCTCCTTCAAATTCATTATACATGAATTGTGCATTAGTCTGAATGATATAACCAGTTTTCTAGGTGACAAGAAACTTGTGTAGTGAAAGCTCATTTTGCCAAAAAAACTCTTAACAAGCACTCATAAATATCTAAAATGAAACTGTAACAATGATAACCCAAGGCACAATTAAATCCTGAAATATCTTCTGAGTTACTGATAAAATATTAAGATATGTTTCCTAAAGGCTTAGGGGCTCATATGTTCTCATTGTTTGAAAAGTGGTAATCTGTGTATGCATACTTTTTGCATATGATTTAATCATTTAATCTCTCTTAGAACAGTGTTCTTTTCCAGTTTTTTAGATGCTGCTAACCTCAAAAGTTAGTTCTTAGTCTTTTATCTTTGGATCCCACAAATGCCCAAAGCCCCTGTTTATGAGTAACAGAGAATACACTTACTTCAAAAACCCAATTTTTGCAGAAACCTGTAAATCAGCAGTACAATTTTCATGAGCACAAAACCTTGCAAAGTTTATCTGAAAATAAAATATGACAATATTTTTATTTTAGTTCAATAAGTAGATGCATATTTTAAAGAATAAGACATCTGTCATGCACAATGCAAATAAAATTAATACATCAAATTAAAGACTCCTTATTTTATCTCTCCCAAAGAGTTCAATTCAAGAATTAGTTAAGTTAAAATGATATAATAGTAAATAAATGAACTTCTAATACGCAATTTTAAAACTGAAGTTTTTAACATAAGATTTGAGAAAAAAGTTAAATGAAAGGCACTTGACAGATAACTGGAGAATATTAGCCACCAAGAAATTCTTCATCAAGTTCCTCATAAGTTTCTTATTTCACATATACATAGTATTTACTCAGTTTTGGCAGATGCAGGACTGTGATTTTATATTCGTTGAAATTACACTATGTAAACATTTTCAAAAGTTACCTTGAAGAAACACTGAACAGAATTAAATGATAGTCTTTCATAGGGTTTCCAGAATTTAACTGTTAAGCATTTTAATAAGATCCACAGATACTACAATATAGAGGGGAACACTTAAAAGAAAAAAAAAATGGAGAGAAAGAAAAAAAAAGAGGATGACAGGAAGAAGTGAAAAGAGGAAGAGATGGAGAAGAGAGAAATTTGGAAGGTCAGGGAAGGAACCATATGCAGGGAGTAGGAGGTGAGGGGGGACTATCAAAGAGCAAGCCAGGCCACAGTGAGCCCGTACCCGGGGGAGAAGTTTAAACCCTTCTCTACACAATTAAGTGTAATGCTTTTCTGCCATTGCAATTTATATAGTAGGTTATTCTAAGAATCAAAATGTCAGCCAAAGTTTTCACTTGTATGCTTGCAATATTGATACTTTCAATATTAAAAACATGCAGAAATAGTTGTTATTGAAAAATTGAAGTTCAACAGGAAGAGTGAAAAAATTGGCTTGTAAAAAAAGTTTCAAGGAAGGGTAGAGACACAATTTGCCCTTGCGTTATTATCTTCATTTGATCTAGTATTCTGGACCAGACAGTGGTGATTATAAGCTCAAATGTCTTCACACGGCTTAGAGTGATGTTGCCTTGACAGGAGATGACCCACACCTTTATCTTTTACACTAGGCATGCCACGAGCCTGTGTTTTAATGGATGCTTTTGACCATGGCCAAACACATCCTGTTGACTATATCCTTGTGTTGTCGGACAGTAAAAGTTTGAACAACAGCATGACTGAGAATAACTGCATTGTCTGTGAAGCTGAAATATTTGGGGATAATTTAGAAAAGGCAGTTCATAGGTTACAAGATATCTAACTTAAAATACAACTGATGTTGTGGTGTGGCTAAAAGGCATGTTACAGAATTTAAATTGATTTTAACATAACATAAATACATGTGCTTATGAAGAAATAAAAGCCAGAAAGGAATGTGACTGACAAGGCAGTGAATCCGTGGGAAAGGTGAGATAGAGACATAAAGCAACAACAACAACAACAACAACAAAAAACCACGTAACTATTAAAGATTTCAGAGATCCAGTTCATTTCTTCAGAATTATGCCATTTTTGAAAATGTTCTAAGTGAAAGAAAATATTCCTACCATTTTTTTTATCACGTCTTTTTCTTTCTTCTGCTGAAGAATTGGCTGCAGTGGTGGGAATTCTTCTGCACTTCGTTTAGTGAGGACATGCTGCCCCAGGCGGTAAGCGGCTTCAATCTGAACTGGAGTAAGGATGTCCCTCACATCTTTCTATGGGGATTAAAAACCATAAGAATGACAAAGATACACATGCAAATGGAACATATATAAAACATTCTACTTCCTTTCATAAGGCCAAAAACAGCAACTGGAAGCCAAAGCATCTAAATTGTTAAAAAATAACTGAACATGTACATTTTTACACATTGCAAATAGTTCCTATATCTTATGAAAAACACAAGCAGCATAACATTGAAAAACTATATGTCAAGCAATAATACTTTTGGGCTTTCTTTCCATGATATTTTCTTTGCTTTTTAAATATAACTTATTGTATCATAAGCATTTTAAATTATTATGCCCTTGTAAATCATGCCAAAATGCTAATCAATTATTTATTGCATTTAACACCGCATTTTAGTAAACTTCTAGAAAAATTTTATCAATTAGCTTATATTAGTAGCACTGATCAGATTCGATCATGTCTATTATAATACATCTTTAAAAAAATCCTTTATGGGCCTTTCCTATTATATTTCCATTTCAATTTAAAAAAAAAAAAAAAACTTACTTGAGTGTCAGAGTAAGAGAGAGCAAGAGCACTCTCATCAACTGGTTCACTCCCGAGATGTCCACAACAGCTAGGGCTGAGCCAAAGCCAAGGGTTAGGAATGCAATCCAGGTCTCCCTCATGGGAGGTACGGATTTAACTAGGTGAGCTGTCACTGCTGCCTTCCAGGGTCTGCATCAGCAGAACGATGGAATCAGGAAGTACAGGCAGGTTTCAAACCCAGGTACTTAGATGTGGAATGCAGGCATCCTTCACTGATGACTAAGCCAAATGCTTCTTACATCTTCTACCCCATTACGAATGGCATTTCAGAAAGGTATTTATTCTGTACATTTTATATCCTAGTGACTTCACAGAACTCTTGTTAGTTACTACAGCTTTTTCAGGTCTTTGTACTTGGATTTATTTATCAATTTGGGATTTTATACTTAATATTTTAGTAATTTCTAGAGAGCATTTCTCATTCCTGCTCTCATTTATGACAATTAATCATTACTTTTATTTATTTGACAGGTAGAGTTACAGACAGTGAGAGAGAGAGACAGAAAGGTCTTCCTTCCGTTGGTTCACTCTCCAAATGGCTGCTATGGCCGGCACTGCACCAATCCGAAGCCAGGAGCTAGGTGCTTCTCCTGGTCTCCCATGGGGTGCAGGGCCCAAGGACTTGGGCCATCCTCCACTGCATTCCCGGGCCACAGCAGAGTGCTGGATTGGAAGAAGAGCAGCCGGGACTAGAAGCCAGTGCCCATATGGGATGCTGGCACCACAGGTGGAGGATTAACTTAGTGCGCCACGGCGCTGGCCCCTGAATCATTACATTTTTAAAATTTATTGTCTTCTGTCCTCAAATAGCTCTGGAGTTACTCACAATTGTCAGTGTTCACACGTTAATCTTTATTTCTACATGCAGGCATTAATTGTCTTTTTTAAAAAATGTTCTCCATGAGCTTAAAAATGTTTTTTACCTTTTCATTTGATTATTATTTGCTCACATACAGATGCACAAATAATGAAATAATCAACAAAAAGTAATTTGAAAGCATTCAGAATTCAATTAAATTGAAGGTGTTCTAGACTCTCAAGTTTGTGAGAATATATGGAAATTAGGCAAAATCGAAAATGCTGTATCTCTTATGCACTTTTCTGAGACCTCCACGGACAGCAATGTAATTTTCCAAGTATACTGAACAAAACAGTCTTCTCCCTGTAAAAGCAGGCTAGCAAGATTTTACTAATAAAATATGAAGATTTATTACCAAAATCAATTGACAAATTATATGAAATAAGACATGCTACAGGCAAATCTATAAAAGTATATTAAGTCCAACAAAAATTGAAAGTAGAAATTACCTCAAGGTTTGAGAGGATAGCTTACAATCAACAGCAAGAACTAATATAGAAAATATGTAGTGTTTTCTTATTAAAATTCTTACTATACTCAGAAGATAATCTGAAGAATTGGTCTTAGAATTCAATGTCTTTCACAATAAACATTAAAATGTAAACTTCAATTGCTTCTACTTTTCAAATGCCCATTTCAGTTTACAGGTTCTTTTCATTTAAAAAATAAAGTCCTAGCGGCGCCGGCACACCGGGTTCTAGTCCCAGTCGGGGTGCCGGATTCTGTCCCGGTTGCCCCTCTTCCAGGCCAGCCCTCTGCTGTGGCCAGGGAGTGCAGTGGAGGATGGCCCAGGTGCTTGGGCCCTGCACCCCATGGGAGACCTGGAAAAGCACCTGGCTCCTGGCTCCTGCCATCGGATCAGCGCGGTGCGCCGGCCGCAGCGCGCCGGCCGCGGCGGCCATTGGAGAGTGAACCAACGGCAAAGGAAGATCTTTCTCTCTGTCTCTCTCTCTCACTGTCCACTCTGCCTGTCAAAAAAAAAAAAAAAAAAAAAAAAAAGACACTGCTTGCTATGCCCATATCTGATATTCCAGTGTCTGGCTGGAGTCACAGCTCCTCTGGTTCATATCCAGCTTCCTGTTAATGTGCACCCTGGGAGGCAGTGGACAGGATGGCTCAAGTACTTGGGTCCCTGCCACCCATGTGGAGACCTGAATGGAATTCTTGTCTTTGGTATTGGCCTGGGCCAGCCCTGGCTGTTGCAGGCTTTTGGGGAGTGAATCGGCAGAAGGAAGATCTCTTTCTCTGTTTCTGTCTCTCTTTCTCTGCCTCTTGACCATTAAAGAGACCCACACAATAGGGTGCCCACATGCATACAGCCAGGCGAGGCTGTTAACGTAACTCATAACTGAAGTTTCTACTTCTGTCTGATGAGCTCCTCAGGGTAGACTCCTGACATTGTAAATGATAGACCTCCTACTGAGCAACCTCAGTGGACCAGGTTTCTTTTTATCTAAGTTCTTAAAGGATTAGATGTGGCTTACACATCACTGCCTAAAAGAAAATAAAGAAAGGGTTATTTTAAAAAAATTATTAATTGGTAATCCCTAATCATACAGATTAGGGATGTGTTAATTATATTTATAATAACTTCTGATAAAAACCAATGAAGTAAATTAACAAAGAGAACACATACCACCTACAAGCCTGCATCTCTTCCATGTCTTTATGTAATTATAAAAGGATATAACTTTTCATTTACATTTTAAATGCATTAATGTAGTGGTTAGGGGAGGTGATCTGAACGAGAAGTACATGTTCAAATCTTGGGCCCATTATTCATGATCTGCATGACACTGAGCAAGATACTGTATCTGCCTCTGCTTCAGTGAGCTCATCTGAGCATGGGAAGGATGAGGATGGTGACAATACCTGTCCCTTACTGCTGTGAGGACTGAGTGACACAACAGATTTGAAAATTTAGATATCATAACCATGTGTACACTGTTTCAAAATGTGGCTTTGTAAGACAACCAAAAAATTACAGAGTGTAAGTTTTTAAAAATAAATTCTAGTGAACATTTGGAAGGAATGGAGAATTTGGAAGAAAACTGGATTACTGCCAATTAATGAACAATAAATAGAAATGAGAGGTATTAGATTTCTATTAACTAAATGGTATCTGGAAGACGTGGAGCATGAATCACAGTATTCAAGATCTCTGACAAATTTTCCGTTTTTATAGACACTTTTATTAAACAACTTAATGTTGATCAACTCAACATGAAACCCTGACCATGTAGGAATGCTGCAAATCAAGGCCCAAATCCCAAGTTATCAACTTGTAAAAATGGAACAGCTTGAAACGCTGAGTATTACAATAGCAAACTTGATTAAATTATCCCCCAGGTGTAGGAGCTAGACAGCCACTGATGGTCCCTCCACATGTCCACTGTTTTAATTCTTCTCAACAAGCTTGCCTTGACCAAATCACATGTTATCTAATTCATACTAATTTTCCACAAGGTCTTCTCTACATCTGGTGTATATTACTTTCATTATCCTAATTAGCTATTAATTATGCTTTTCTCACAATATACAAAATGTACGTGCACTCTTGCAAGAACTGTATTTGACAGATATTCACACTTACTTAACTTTAACAGCTCCACCTAAGGAAAAAGCTGTAATACCAAAAATGTCTAGAAGTGACTAATTAAGTATTTGGGAGAGAGAAGTAGATTTGCTTAAAATTTTTCATTTGGATGGGCATGTGCTATCTACGTTAAAAATAATGAAGATTCCATGCCACATTTTTATGGACACTTAAAAAATAGGGCACCCACAAGCATACAAATTAGCACATGCCTGAAATCACACAGCATCTGCCTTATTGCTTGACTTTCATGAAAATATCTATTCCTAGTCAACTTGAGAGATGAGCTGTAGGAGGCAGCATTATGGCAGAGATTAAGCTGCTGCCTGAGACTCCAGCATCACATATCAAAATGCCAGTCCAAGCCCCAGCTGCTCTGCTTTGAATCCAGCTCCCTGCTAATGCACCTGGGAAGGCAGCAGCAGATGGATCAAGTTCTTGGTCTCCTGCCACTCGTATGGGAGACCTGGAGATTCTGGCTCATGACTTTGGCTTGATCTATCACAAACATTGTGAACATTTGGGGAATGAACCAGTAGATAGAAGGTCTCTTTATCAGTCTGCCTCTCCTTCTGTGTTGCTTTGCCTTCAAATAAAGAAATCAATGTTGGGGGAAAATATGGTCTGTAGACCCAGGTACTTCTGTTGTGTTCATGTACTGAAAGAGTTAAAGAGGTGAGGCAACATATTTATGAAACATGATGTGAAAACATGAACACTTAGAGATATTCATTCATGGATCTACTATGTACAAGAAAGTTCTGAAAAATATAAACTAATACCTACATCAGGACTATAGCCCATAAATCTACCTAGCCACTAGGAAGGATGAGTATTCTAATATGTTCACGCACAAGTGCAGAGGAAGCATGGCTATCTCATCTATAATTGAAAGGGGCTGAGCAGGCTCTTCCATAAAAGAGTTTTAAGCAATAAATACGATCACATTTGTGTTTCTGAAATATACTTCTGGTGCCAATGTG